CTGATTGAAAAAATTGGCACTTCAATGCAGGAAGAACAAGATACTGTTTTGGCAAGAATAGAAGTTTCTCATGCTCATGTGGAACTGTTAAAGCATACAGATGTTTTGAATGATGCATTCTATATTTCACAATATAGAGTGTTTGGAACAATAAATAACCTCTGTCTTGGACACTCTCATGGGTAGGTTACTGTTGTTTCATATATATTAAAATGTGATTTTAACTCTGTTATTTAGCTCGATACGTGCTATACTAACTCATACGAGTGTGACTCATGAGTTCAGATCACAGATGGGATAACAAACCAATTAGAACTCTAATATCGAATTTATCATGTACCACTATTCTTAGTAAAACAGGAGGAGTGGAGGGGAGGAAGAGTGTGATGGATCAAAATTTAGAGAAATAAAATCTCTCCTTTTAGTATTAGGTGTAGTAGCAAATATGCACATGCTATTACGCCCTGTTTAAGTAAGGTTTCGTCCTTACCAACTTGAGAGTTTCTTGAATGTTTATGTCAATTAATGGTAAAACATTGCTAGTTTAATGAATATAATAGTAATTCATATAGAATACAATTACTTGGGAAAGGAAAAAGAAAAGCAAGCACCTTCCGACCTATGCGTTAGGAGGCTTGATGAGTCCACTGGTGGGCCTAACTAGTACTTTTCTTGGAGGATTAGTGAGCCTAATTAAGTAGAGAAGGCCCATTACATATGGCCGCCATGGAGCTTGCAGCCGGCTCACCCGTTTAGTACCAGCTCGCCTAACCAAGAAGCATGGCGTAGACTCACTATATAAGGTGACCCAGGGCATCTAGCCAAATCATACCTTTCTCGGCCTTTTGGCTAAGATCAAGTGTAGTATCTGTTCTTATCAGTTTAATATCTGATATGTGAGACATCGTCTCACAATGATATTAAATTTATTTTTTATGGGGGAGGATCCACTATAGTAGCTTGCTACTAGGTTTCTCAAGTGTCGCCTAGCCGTTGCACTGTTGGCAAGGCCTGGCACACCCCAACCAATTCTAATTCTAAGTTTTAAAGTTAGCTTGGCTATAATTCAAATTTTCAGATGTTTGTAGTTCTTGAACTGTGTCGCTCTGGATCAATCTACGTCTAAATGGCTGCAGTTGCAGCTTTCTGTGAGGTGTGATACAATGATTATTCAATGAGAATTAGACTGAACGGTGAAAGACTTTTTCAACGAGAATTCAGACTGCAGTTCATTCTCTTCACAGTTGTTATAGAAGCAGTGCCATATGGAGAGTGTTTCTACCCATTAGCGGAGCCAAGATGAACACCTCGGGGGGGGCTAATCAATAGAGATTTAGAACAAATGTCGAAGATTAACGGTGAAATCACGTTTTTTCTACAGTAAATACCACATAAAATCACTCTCACGGGGGGGGGCTGCTGCCCCCCTAGCCCCCCCCGTGGATCCGCCAATGTTTCTACCTATGCCAAATGAAGCAGGCATGCGGTAGAAGGAGCTGAAGGACCAGATCATGCAAGACCCATCACAGTCTGAAGTGCCTTTTGCAATGAGCAGACAACACATGGCTCGATGCGGTAAAACCTAAAGTTCAATTCTCTACCATGAATACATTGATTAACTTCTCCATGATAGAAGTAATGTAATGTAAATCGGTATGTCAAACATAATATGTAATTACCTAGAAGGAAAAACAGTAGTAGAAAACATAAAGTAAAAAAGAAAAGTAAACGGAAAACATTGAAATGGCTCATGCAGGTTGGTAGGTAAAATAATATATAATTAACTTGTATAGTAGAGAAAACAGCAGTACAAAATAGAAAGTAAACAAAAAAACCTCTCTAGCATGAACACATTGATTAACTTCTCCATGACATCAACACTGTAAATCGGCATCTCAAATATCCCCTCCGTCCTGTAATAGAAAAGATCAAAAGTTCAAAATCTATACATAAACACAAGGTATTCTGTGTCCTCAATCCATTCTCTCCTCTGTCTTTTTTGTTAAGAAGTATTGAGATCCCTTTTATACTTAGGGCCTTTTTGGCCCGGCTCTCCCCGGATCCGGCTCCAGCACTGTAGCGCAGAGCCGGGGGAGCCCGGAAACCCAGCTCCGCTGCTCCTAGGCAAAATACCGGAGGAGCCGGAGCCCTTTTCATGCCGTCACAGTAGCGCACAGTCCATATGGAGCCAGAGCCCAACGGGGCGGAGCCATGCCAAAGACGCTCTTAGCGTCACCTAAGGCAACCAGCATTAATTAAAGAAAATAACAACTCAACTACTCTCTCCATCCTGATTAGTGAGGGACAAGGTGGTCTTTTGTTAGTCTTCTTATTTTAAAGTCGCTTGAATCCCTTATATTATAGGACGGAGAGAGTATAAATCTATAATTATCTAATAGGGAAAAAAAGTAGTAGAAAACAGAAATAAAAAATAAACAAAAAACATTAAAATGACTCATCCAGGAGGTCAAATAATATATAATTATCCAGTATTATAGTAGAGGAAACAGTAGTGCAAAACAAAAAGTAAACAAAGGAAAAATAATATATGATTACATAGTAGAGAAAATAAGTATAAAATGCTTTTCAGTTAATATTATTGAGGACCTAGGCTATTTTTACATGCCACTCAGCACTCACCGTTTTAAGGTGATCTTTGTTCAATTTTTTTAGGATTTTTTATGTTTATATATATATTGGCAGGAGCAAATAACATTTTTTCTATTCGTTCCGCAATAACGAAATGGATAGTGTAAAGGAAATGGGAAACGGAAAGTAAACAAAGGGAATGTTATATAAAACAGAAAGTACACATAGGAAACAGAAAAAAATAGAAAGTACACAGAGGAAATAGGAAAAAAACAGAAAGTACAAAACAGAAAGTAAACAAAGGGGACGTGGTACAAAACTGAAAGTAAAATGGAGCGAAAAAACGGCAGTAGAAAACAGAGGGTAAATAAAGGAGTCAACGTGGTACAAAATAGAAAGTAAATAGAGGTAAAAAAAATAGAAAGAATAGAGGTAAAAAATAAAAAGAAACAAAAACAAAATCCATGTAAACAAAGGGGACGTGGTACAAAACTGAAAGTAAAATAGAGGGGGGGAAACAGCAGTAGAAGACAGAGGGTAAATAAAGGTGTTAATGTGGTACAAAATAGAAAGTAAATAGAGGTAAAAAATATAAAGAATAGAGGTAAAAAAATAAAAAGAAACAAAAACAATAGTGGGAAAAAAACAACGGTAGAAAACAGAGGGTAAATAAAGGAGTCAACGTGGTACAAAATAGAAAGTAAATAGAGGTAAAAATTAAAAAGAAGACAGTTAAAAAATAAAAAGGAACAAAAATAATGTCCTGGCCCATGCAGGTCTCGAACCTGCGACCTTCGCGTTATTAGCACGACGCTCTAACCAACTGAGCTAATAGGCCATTTGGTGGGTGCAAACAGTGGAATACGCTTTATAAAATACAATTTCTATAAACAAAGGCCAATCACCTTACATCAAGCCTCAACGTGATTTTTTTATAATGAGCAGCATACCAGCTGATGTACTACAAGTGCAGCGGTAATATAAGTAAAACCACTTCCAACCATGAAACGATGGTTTTTATATTCATCAATTGGAGTGTCAACTAAGCAAAAAGATAACATGACACTGCAATTAAAGAAGAGAGATGAGAAAATAGTTTATTAGATAAGAAACCATGTCTACGCAAGAATCAAGACATGAAGAGATGTAATAGTTAGAAGATGGAGAGAGAATATGTGTAATTAGATAAAAAAATTATCCAATAAAAACATTCCATTGGGAACATAGTTTCTACATTATTAGTGTCTACGTAAATTAATGGCAATAGAAACTAAATGTGATTTCTAGCTTTGGGACTGCCCTAAATGAATTAGATTTCCACCCACATGCTACAAACAAAATCCAATCAAACCATAACTAGGTAAGAAATTTTTTGGACATGTATTGGCAGAGAATAAGAGTTTGTTTGGTTTGGAGCTAGCAAAAGCTGTGTGCCGAGCAACAATCCCAGGCATTGGTTTTTGGAGATCCGAGGTGTGCAAAAGAGTTTTAGGATAGCTCCAATAGTGTTAAAAGCGCTAGCTCATAGAATATTTTCGGGCCGTTCGCTGGTCTGATTTGTTCAGACCAGCCGGCTGGTCGTCTCATAGATCACTATGCATTTTCAGCCACTTCCAGCCGCTACAGTGTTTCTCCCTCACAACAACCAGCCAGTTTCAGCCAAGTTTCAGACCAGCGAACGAGGCTTTTATTGAGTAGGGAGGAGAGAGAATAAAGTTAGCTCTCCACGAAGATCTAAGCTCACATACTTTTATTTCATTCGTGTGCCTTTGCTTATATATTTTTCTATACTAGCAGCAAGTTGGGTTACCCTATCTTTATCTTTTTTTTAAAAAAAACAATAATATAAGATAGCAAGCTGACATTATTACTGAGGTACTTGGCATAAACGAGATCATTATTCACATATATGGCCTCGTGATGCTCACCAAGGAATATTGTATGGATCGGATGTCCCAGCTAGGTCGTTGTCACGCACCGCGCGAGGGCAGGCAAGGCAGGCATCCTCCCTGCCGTTGCCGAGAAGTCAGACCGGCCATCGATGCTAGCTTTCAGATACCTGAACACCACGTCTTGTGGATGCTTCCATTCCAAAACTTTTATCAGTTCTAGCAACGCTGGAGAGTGTGTGCGTGTTAAAAAAGACCAATAGGGCCGGGCATGCTGATGATTGATGAAGATGAACACCAAGAAGGGCTCACAATGACGCTTGCTTGGAATCAGAGTTAGGCAACCAATCTAGGCAAAGGATCCTAGTGATAAAGAACAATGCATGCATGCTTCATCGATCACTCTGAGTATCTGACAGCTGTTGGGACTCTTTCATGCATGCATATAAAGCTAGCTGTACGTGTGCACGACAATGTCGAAATGACTGTTCCCAGTTTCCCATCAATCCCAATCCTGGCGCCATGGACACTGACACGAGAACGATACTCATCAACGACGACGTCCCCGACCTCCCCGCCATTGCCGAGAGGATGGCCACGACGACGGCGAGGCTGGAGGCCGATTTCTCCAAGGTGGAGACCAAGATCCACCGGTTCCCCCGCAGCCTGCGAGGAATCGGCGGCGACAAGGATCGCTACATCGTCCCCAGCGTGGTGGCCATCGGCCCGTACCACCACGGCGCGCCGCACGTGCACAAGATGGAGGAGGTCAAGCTCGCGGCGGCCTACTACCTCTGCCGAGCCTCGCGCCGCTCCACCGCGGAGGTGTACGAGAAGGTGCGCTCCGTCGCGGGCGCCGCCCGCGGCTGCTACGACGCCGACGACCCCGCGGTCGTGGGCCTCGGCAACGCCGAGTTCGCCGCCATGATGTTCCTCGACGGCTGCTTCCTGCTGCAGTACATGGTCGCCGGCGGTGACGTCACGACGACGACACGACGGCGCCCGTGCTGCAGAACCGGATGACGCTGTAGGATCTAGGACCTCAATCACACAGTGGATTAGTGGCTAACACAAGAAAACGCGAGATCAAACAATGAACACACTCAAGAACACAGGAAATGCCCCGAACTGGCAACTGTCTACAGGGAGAGACAGTGCCCCTTTTCACTTACTATAGTTCGAGGTACAATACATAATTACAGAATGACGAAGCAACCGTTAGGTAGTGCTATACTACGGCTTTATATCCCAGCCGATACAAGACACATACACAGTAATGAAAAACTGCTAAAACATGGATACAAGACGAGCACTTCGCAACTGCTGTTGGCCTGTGTCGTCGTGGGCGCACTCACCGGGCACCAACTGGACCTCCATTCAAACTGGCGTTTCCTGCCCACTGCTGCTGACTTGGCTTCACCTGCTATGTCATTGCACACGTGCACATACTGGTTTAGCCCAACATACTCCCCCCTAAGCCAGCTGTACACTCACATCTCGAACACCGATCAGGTGTTTCATCACCTCAAGTTTCCCAGCTGCTAGAGGCTTCGTCAGCAAATCAACCTTTTGTTCATCTGTGCTCACCCTTTTCACCACTATCTGTCCTCTTTCTATGCACTCTCTGATGAAATGATACCTGGTATCAATATGCTTGCTGCGTCCATGAAACACCGGGTTTTTCATCAGGGCAATAGCGGAGTTATTGTCAACAAACATTGTGACTGTTCTGCGTGGTGTTGAAGTTAATTCTGACAGCAAACTCCTAAGCCAGAGTGCTTGCATTGCTGCCACAGTAGCTGCCATAAACTCTGCTTCACATGAAGATAAAGCTACTGTCTTTTGCTTTTGTGAGCCCCAAGTTATCAAACAATCATTGAGATAGAAAGCCATTCCTGCAGTACTTCTCCTTCCCACAGTATCTGCAGCATGGTCACTGTCTGAGTAGGCAACCAACACCTCTGGACCCCCTCCTTTGGTGTACACCAGCCCATGATCAGCACTACCCTGCACATATCTCAGAATCTGCTTGACTGCATTCTGATGCATCACAGTTGGTTTTTCCATGTGTCTACTGACAATGCCAACTGAAAAAGCCAAATCAGGTCTTGTGTGCAGTAAGTATCTCAGACAGCCTATGACACTCCTGTATTCAGTAGTGTCCACCCTTTTCCCCTTTTTGTCTTCATCTAATTTAGTTCCAGGATTCATGGGAACCTTAGTGGTATTGCAACCTTCCATCCCAAACCTAGCAAGAATTTTCTTGGCATACCCTGCCTGCTTCAGAGTGATAAAATCATCATGCTGTTCCACTTCTATTCCCAGATAGTAGGAAAGCAATCCCAAATCACTCATTTCAAATTCTGCTGACATTTGTTGTTTGAACTTGTCAATTTCACTTGGAACATTACCAGTAATCAACAGGTCATCTACATAGACACCCAAGATAATGGTAGCTTCTCCATCTTCTCTCTTGTACACTGCTGATTCACTAGGACATTTTGCAAAACCTAGCTTCTTCAAGCTTTTATCTAGCTTGATGTTCCAGGCCCTTGGAGCCTGTTTGAGCCCATACAGTGACTTGCTCAACTTCAAGACACACTGTTCCTTTCCCTTAACTGCATATCCTTCTGGCTGTACAACATAAACTTCCTCTTCCAAATCACCATTCAGAAAAGCTGTTTTGACATCAAGATGGTGTACCTTCCACCCTCTGTTTGCAGCTAAGGCTAGAATCAGTTTCACTGTATCAATCCTGGCTACAGGAGCAAAAACTTCATCATAGTCAACTCCATGCTTCTGCACATAACCTTTTGCAACCAGCCTAGCTTTGTGCTTGACTATTTCCCCATCTGCATTTCTCTTCAACTTGAAAACCCATTTCAAACCAATGGCTTTATGACCAGTAGGTAGCTTTGACAATTTCCAAGTTCCATTCTTCTCAATGGAGCTAATCTCATTATTCATTGCCTCCACCCATTCTGGGTTTCCTACTGCTTCACTGAAATTCTCAGGTTCATCAGATTCAGTAAGTAGTGCTTCTACTTCATCTGAGTCTGCTAACTCTACTTCTTCAGTGTCATCATAAATATCATTCAAGTTTCTGAAATGCTGTGGTTCATCTGATAGATCATCAAAGATCATCTCTGGATTTGATTGCTCCCCCACACTATGTGTGTTCTCAGTTTCCTGCAGTGAATTATCAGTATTGATACTAGCACTTGACTGTGCTCCAGGTGACTGTAGCTCATCTAGCACACTGCCTGAACTACCTGCTGACAAAGTTTCATCAGTCCCTGGTTGAGGCATCTCTACATTGTCATCAACATTCACTGTCTCCCAGTCAGTGTTGTCAACAAACATCTCACCTCCAACCTGATCTTCTTCCATTTCATTTGTTGAGAATTCATTCCACCCCCAACTCACTGCTTCTTCGAAGATTGTATCCCTGCTGATTACAATCCTTTTCTGCACAGGATCATATAACCTATGAGCCTTGCTTCCTTCTTCCACACCAAAATATACTAGTCTTTGACTCCTGTCATCTAGTTTCTTCAGTTGTGGTGTTGTTTGTTTTGCATGTGCCAGACATCCAAACACTTTTACATGACCAAGGTGAGGTTTTCTGCCATTCATTGCTTCAAATGGAGTTTGCTCCCCCATAGGCCTAGTAGGCAGTCTGTTAAGCAAATAGACAGCATGTCTAACAGCTTCTCCCCAAAACTTTCCTGGAATCTTCATACTTTTCAGCATGGATCTTGCCATCTCCATAACTGATCTGTTCCTTCTCTCAACCACACCATTCTGTTGTGGTGAGTAGGGAGCTGTCATTTGTCTCTTTATCCTAGCTTCTTCACATATACCTGCAAATAGCTTGGACAGAAATTCACCCCCTCTGTCAGATCTCAACACCTTGATCTTCTCCCCAGTTTGGTTCTGCACTTCTACCTTGTACTTCACAAACACATCCACTGCCTGATCCTTACTCTTGAGCAAAGAAACATTCATCCATCTACTATGATCATCAACTAGAAGCATAAAGTATTTGTTCCCAGCTGGTGTAGGAGGGGTGATGGGACCACAAAGGTCAACATACACAAGTTGAAGTGGCTTTTCAGCTCTGAAACTTGTAGTTTTTGGAAAAAACTTCCTAGCTTGCTTCCCAGCCAGACATCCATGACAAACCTATTCAGGATGTTCTATCATTGGCACACCTGTAGCCATCTTCTTCTCCACTAGCAATCTCAGAGACTTGAAATTCACATGACCCAACCTAGCATGCCACAACCATGCTGGCTCCTCTATTCTTCCCATTAAACACACTGGATCAGCTAACTTGAGTTCAATTTTATAAAGTCTGTTAACTGATCTGTCAATTCTCATCACCAGCTTCCCTAATACTTTATCAACCACTTCTAGAAAATCATTATCAAGTAGAATTCTATGCCCCACTTCTGTAAGCTGGCCTAAACTTACCAGATTACTTTTTAGCTTAGGAATGTAATACACCTCATGCAGTAACCACTGACCCTTATCTTTGCATTGAAACAAAACAGAGCCCTTTCCCATGATTTCTACTGCAGAGCCATCCCCAAATCTAACTTTGCCAGTTATATTTCTATTCAATTCCATGAATTTAGCAGGATCACCAGTCATATAGTTTGATGCACCATTATCTAAGTACCAGACATTACTAGTGTTAAAGCCACCACCAGTAAGATGCAGTTCTGGAATCACCTTCTCTTCCTTCAGGATCACTACTCGCCGCCCTCCTGAAGCTTGCAATGGGCCTGGCATTTTCTCGAGCAGCTGCGGCTCCTCCGCAACTGTGAGCATCAATGCCGGCTCGACGTTCTCCACCCGGGCATGATGAGCCTCCTCGCCGCCGCCCTTCTTCTCCTTTGGACAGCGGTTGGCGTAGTGCCCGTAGTCCTTGCAGTTGAAGAACTGGATGTGCTCCTTGTTCTTCTTGGCGGCGCTGTCGCGTCCTGGCGCATCCCCGCGCCCACCACGGCCACGGCCTCTCCCTCGGCCCCGACCACCACGCCCGCACCCGCCACCATCAGGCAACCTGCCTCTCCCCGAAGCCTCTCCGCCTACCTTGCTCTGCCTTGCTTCCCACTCGGCATGTGTGAGCAGTAACTGCCCTTTGCTGTCTGTCTTGGCACCTGATCCCCCAGCTCCCCGCTGGACTCTTTCCTCAAATGCCTTTAGTCTCCCGACTGCTTCTTCAAACAGCAACTCCTTCAGATCGTAAAACTGCTCAATACCTGCCACCACGCTGAGGAAGCGCTCCGGCACAGTGTCGAACAGCTTCTTGACCATGGCTGCGTCATCTAGCGTGCCTCCCAGGTTGCTGTATCTCACCGACATGGCGTTCAGCTTCCCGGCATACTCATCAATAGGTTCTTCCTCCTTCATCTTCAGTGCATCAAATTCTGCCTTGAGCGTCTGCAGGCGCGCATCACGAACACGAGCCGCGCCCACGAACCTCGCCTTCAGGCAGTCCTAGATCTCCTTTCCAGTCTTCTTCTTCGCCACTTGCATGAGTAGATCATCGGGCAGACACTGCAGGAGATGCGCCTTCGCCTTCTTGTCCTTGGCAGTTGCTTTCTCCTTCTTTGCCGCTGTCCGCGCCGTTGACGACTCCACCTCCCCCGGCTCAACAACCTCCCATACTCCTTGATCTTCCATGATGGCCTGCACCCGGATGCTCCAACTCACATAGTTGGTCGCCGTGAGAGGCGGGTACACCATCCTCCCCCCATCTCCTGCGCCGCCGGTTCCCCCGCCGCCGTTCCGAGAGCTCTCGTTCATCTTGGATCAAACTGAGTATGTGGAACTGTGTGATCGTCGGCTCTGATACCAGAATGTAGGATCTAGGACCTCAATCACACAGTGGATTAGTGGCTAACACAAGAAAACGCGAGATCAAACAATGAACACACTCAAGAACACAGGAAATGCCCCGAACTGGCAACTGTCTACAGGGAGAGACGGTGCCCCTTTTCACTTACTATAGTTCGAGGTACAATACATAATTACAGAATGACGAAGCAACCGTTAGGTAGTGCTATACTACGGCTTTATATCCCAGCCGATACAAGACACATACACAATAATGAAAAACTGCTAAAACATGGATACAAGACGAGCACTTCGCAACTGCTGTTGGCCTGTGTCGTCGTGGGCGCACTCACCGCGCACCAACTGGACCTCCATTCAAACTGGCGTTTCCTGCCCACTGCTGCTGACTTGGCTTCACCTGCTATGTCATTGCACACGTGCACACGCTGGTTTAGCCCAACAGACGCTGTCCACGGGGCCCAGTATTCAGAAGGACATCTTCCTGCTCGAGAACCAGATCCCCTGGCTGGTGCTCGACGCGCTCGCGGAGTTCATGTTCGTCGACGTGCGCGGGTTCGTCGCCGGGATGGGCGACAAGTTCCTCCCCTGGAAGGGAAGGAAGAAGCCGGAGGATGGCCGCTGCTGCCGCCGGGGGATGCGCTGTGGTTGCATCCCGACGGCGCAGGCCAAGACGACGCGGCCGTCCGATGAAGAAAGCCGCGGCGTCGTCGGCAGCACCGAACAGCACAAGCCGCCGCATCTCCTCGGTCTGCTCAGGTTTACTCAGGTGGGCTGCATGCCTGAGCAGGTGAAGAACTACATGGGCGTCTCGTCGTCGTGGTCCAGCAGCGCCGTGGAGCTCGCGGAGATGGGCGTCGTCCTCACACCGAGCAAGGAGTCTTCGGGGACATGAGCCTCCGGCGGTGCTGCCTGTACGGCGAGCTGTCGCTGTCGCCGGTGTTCCTGAGCGACGTCACCGGGTGCTGGCTCGTCAACATGGCGGCGCTGGAGGCGAGCACCGCCGGCGCGGCCAGGGACACGGACGGCTTCGTGGTGAGCTCCTACCTGTCGGTGCTCGCGATGCTCATGGACCGCAAGGAGGACGTGCACGAGCTCCGGCGGCGGGGCGTGGTGCACGGTGCCCTGAGCAACAAGCAGGCGCTGGGCTTCTTCAAGGGCCTCGGCCAGCACCTGCGCTTCGGCCGCCGCTACTTCGCCGCCCTGGAGGAGATCGACTCGTACAAGCGCCACAGGTCGGTGAGGATCAAAGCGTACAAGTTCGTCTACAACTACAAGAAGTTCATCGTCGCCTTCCTGTCTGTCACCGGCGTGCTCATCGGCATCTTTAAGACCCTTCTCTCACTCAAGCGCCATTGCTAATGCTGCCTATGATATCATGTTGTTGTATGCTCTAATATAAGTTTCAGATAGCACCATTGTTCATGATTGCCACACTCGTGCATGCATATTTTTCTTCTTCTCGTTTTTGTTTACAATAATACACGGCGTACACGCGATGCATATATGTTTACAATATTTAATACACATGTACTAGCAAAAGTTCGATTCTAATCGTGTGGTTGGAAAATAAGAATAGCCGCGTTTTTATTGTCTATATCCGTACCGGATGAGAGGTCACTCCTCTCTCTGAATTTTTTGAGCGTGTTATAAGAAAAGATTGTGTTTTGGAGGAGTTCCACGTGTCTGATTAAAGATGTTGTACAAATCGGGTAAAATATTTCTTGTTCACACCTGAATTTTTAATTACACTAATTCTACCTAAAAATTACACCAAAATTGTGACAGTATGCGAGGACATGGTTAAACTAGGAGAAATGTTATCCAACAACCGAGTGTTGGACACTCAATTTCCCCTCACCTGCACGACCTCTCTCACCGGCCTCTCACTCTCTTCTTCTCCAAATCTAGTGAGCTTAGAAGGGGAAATTGGGGGAGGCAGGCCGGCCAGGAGGTGGGGACGGCAGGAGGGCGGCGTTTGGGTCTTAGCGGCGGCAGAGGCGGCCAGGCCAGGTCAGGGGGAGGGCACCCATGGCCAGAGCTCGCCACCAAAGAAGGAGGAGGGGAGGGGGGAAAAGGAGGCCGCTGCGGCCATGCTAGGGTTCGCTCGAGCTCCGGTGAAACCTTAGCGTGGCCGCCGCCGGGCGGTGGGAGGTGGCGGGGGCGAGGAGAAAGAAAAACAGTGAAAAAAATCGAGTGTTCTCCACCAGTAAAACCCTCAAGTGCTGGCTAGACACTTCCTAAGGTAGACAAGGGTGGAATTTTTGTTTTAAGAGCAATGTCATGAGCTATGCCTATCAATTTAGAAAGGAAAGCAAACAGTTCATAAAATTACCCTTGAGGTCACAAAACAACCTTAATGATGATGTCGAGTCGTGGCAAGACCATGTGTCTAGCTTAGCATCAACCATCGGTGAGCTCATCCCACCACCGCTTGATGACGTGGCACATCCACCGCTTCTCGCAAATCCCCTCTCCCAGTGCATGCTCTGGGATTCAACCTTGCTTCTGCTCAACGTCCAACTGGCAACTGCTCCATCTGACCTCCGCCCTAAGCTTCAAGATGCGCGCCAATGGGAGCTTAGTCTATGAGGACAACAATAATAAGGTCGTTGTTGACACGGGAGGGGGATTTGTGTTCTTGAGAAGGACACCCTCTTAGGTGGTGAAGCCGAGCATATATATATGGGCCTGTTCGGCTACCGGTAAAAACTAAAAAAGCTACCGGTGGCTCACTACTAAAAAACGATTTGTGGTAACGCTTACTTTTTTTTTAGGAGCCGCCCCTACAAATGGTTGCCAAATGAGTCTCCCTTACAAATAGATTTGTAGGCAGCCGCCCCTACAAATGGCCCGATTTATAGGGGCGGCTCTATATTCAGCCGTCCCAATAAATCGATTTGTAGGGGCGGCTCAATATTAAACAGCCCCTACAAATAGACACCGAGTATTAAAAATTAAGCACTAAAATTCAAATTTTGTAAACGACCTCGGATAGAGAAACAACCAAAATGAAAGTCGTAGATCTCGAAAAGTTATGAAACTTTGTAGTTGACAATTTTTTTATTTGAAATCATCTTGTCAAGGAAAACTACGTTTGAATTTCTAAAAATTTGAAATTTTATTTTTTTAAACGACCTCGGATGGACAAACAGTAAAAATGAAAGTTGTAGATCTTAAAAAGTTAAGAAACTTTGTAGTTGATAACTTTCTCATTTGAAATCATCTTGTCATAGAAAACTATGTTCGAATTTCTCAAATTTGAAATTCAAATTTTATAAGTGGCCTCGGATGGAGAAACTATCAAAATGAAAGTTGTAGATCTCGAAAAGTTATAAAACTTTATAGTTGAGAACCTTTTCATTTGAATTAGTTTAGGGCCTCAAACAATCAATTTATGCTCAATTTTGTATAATATGTGGAGAACCAAAATGGATTTTAGACATAAGTGATCGTGAGGTGCAGTGGTAGAGGAATTTGTGCGCGAGCGAGAGGTTGCGGGTTCGAATCCCGGCCGACGCAAGGTGTGCAAAAATCGTGAAAAAATGCTGCAACCATAGAGTGGGTGTGTGGGTGTCGGGTGGGGACCTCCTCAGATTAAAAAATGCTATTTTTGTCCCTTTTTCGTGATTTCTGGAAATTGATTTGTATGAGCGGCTCAATATACAGTCGCCCCCTATAAATAGATTTGTAGGGGCGGCTGATAACACCAGCCGCCTCTACAAATCTGAAAGGACCTAGGATGCCACCTAGAAGGGGGTGAATAGGCGTTTCTGAAAAATAACACCTTTTGATGCGGAAACAATTAGTAAAGGGAGTTTTCAAAATGGAAACTCCAAATAAGAGTAATACCACCCCTCACAAGTTAGCCGCAGAGTATGTAAAAGATACTAAATAAATCTAGGAGCCACAATCCTGCATCACAACGATTAGTGCAAGGATCAAATAAATTCAGCACTGAGCTCTAGTACCGGACGTGTCCGGTAGATATACCGGACGTGTCCGGTATGAAGGTGTTCAGCAGAACAGCCTGGCACAGTGATCAATACCGAACGTGTCCGGTATGGATACCGAACGTGTCCGGTATACACGATTTCTGCAGAGCAATTCCAAACTTGCTCCTTTCGATTTCTATCTTCAAACCAGACTGCACGTACCTACTAGAGATGACAGTAAACACAGAGAACCTGCACAAGAGCTAGAGCAACACAAATATCGAATGAAATGCGAATTGAGACACGATATTTGTTTTACCGAAGTTCGGACTCGTTCGAGTCCTACTCTCCGTTGAGGGGGCTGCGGGCGACCCAGCGAAGGTCAGCCCTAGAGGTTACCACGAAGGTCATTCTAGCCGGAGTCTTTTCCAACTCCTTTTCCTCCTTCCACTAGTTGATTCCGAGGCAGCGGAATCGATCGTTACAAACTTTCCGAGGCACACCACAATCTCTCGGGTGCTCTCCGGCGATGCCTAGCCGTCTAGGACCGAAGAGTCCAAGAGTAACAAATACGAATCACGAGATTGACACTATGCACAAGTGCTCAAGTGGTTAGATTTGCTCTTTTTTTGAATTTCACTCAACCCACAATTTGATTTGGCAAATTTGATCAATCACTCACTAAGAGAGGGTTGGGAGAGTTGGCAAGGCTCAAAAACATATGTAGCAACCAGCAGAATCAGCAGCCTCCAAAGGTGGAGGCTTGGGGGTATTTATAGCCTCCTTGGAAAAACTAGCCGTTTTATAGCCGTTGCCATACCGGACACGTGCATACCGGACACGTCCGGTATGACTTACACTGCCCCAACGGTAACTAAGTTACAATGACAATGTCAGGTGTCGGAACTCCTGATGTATGCTGGAACTCCCGACTCGCGTCGGAACTCCCGACCCTCAGCAAATTTGAAAACCATGTAACTGAGTTAAAGTATGTGAGGTGTTGGAACTCCCGACACATGCCGGAACTTGCGACCGTTGGAACTCCCGACTCACGTCGGAACTCCCGACCCTCAAGGCTTTTGAAAACTAGCCGTTGGTCTCTGGTCGTGAATACCGAACACGTCCGGTATGACCAGGAAATGAACCCTCCAAGTCAGTTAAAGTGCGAGACGTCGGAACTCCTGGCCCTTGCCGGAACTCCCGACGAACCAACCCGAGAACAACAATTTTACCACTGCTGGGTAAATACCGAACACGTCCGGTCCGGTATTGCTAGACCAGCAAAAATAAAGTTAGCTCTTTTGTCGCTCAAATACTCAAAACTCACATGGGTTGGCTTGAGCACTTATGAAACATCATCTATCAACATGATGCATCCCTCTTTATAGTACGGCATTCATATTAACTCAAATTCAAATGTATAACGAATTTAAACCATTTGAGTTGTTCTCTTTCAACCGAAGCCGTGTATTCCAATCTTCATAAAGTGAGGGTGCTAACATGTGAACTTTGATCTTTTTCACTTGAGCATAGCCATCTTGAGCACGTGACTTGATTCCATTCATCAAATTTGAATAATCCCAAATGTATCAAGTCACTTCCATCAAACATTCCAATAGTGATTTGATCCTCCACATAAACATAGCCATCATAGCTTGATTAGTACCTCAACTAAATACAAGTACTTCCTTCTTCACCCTAGCTAGGTTCTTCGGCCGCCAAGCCGTCGCTTGCCCTTCACCCTTGCTCAGTACCTCGAAGCCTTTCCTTGCTATCTTCACCATCTCAAGCCATCAAGTCACATCTTATGTTGAATCATCCATTCATGTATTGTTATCTTTTTTATTTTAATTTAGCAAGCTTCAAATATGAGACCATTCCATATGCAATCCCTTATGTCTCATTAATTAATTCTTACAAGCTTGCTTTCATATAGTACATGGAAATCCCACAATAAACAAGCCATTTGCATGAATTCCATTTGTATTGTTGTCTTGTGCTTGAACTAGATTGTTTATACAACAACACATCATTTTGGTTTTCATTAAGTACCTGTGAGATAACATGTTACCTGTCTACACTTAGCAAACGGGTTAGACCTTTAATCACGTTGTCATTCAATCATCCAAAACCCACTAAAGAGCTAGATGCACTTTCAAAATCAATTTGTAGTGCGTGATTTGTAGAGACGCTTGGGTAGGGGCGGCTGGGCAAACCGTCCCTACAAATACTTTTTCACATTGTGGCTGTTAGAATAGTGTTATGTGAGGAGGCAGTTGCAGCAGCAACCCCAACAACTATGAAAACAAGCTACCGAACATGCCTAGATCTTGTTTGGTATAGCTTCTCCAGGAAGCGCTTCTTAAAAAAGCTACACAAATAGAGTAAAAGGTAGTGTGATCAGAAGCACTTTCAAAAAACCTACAC